AAGCGAGTCTCCTGCCTCAGCCTCCCAAGTAGCTGGGACCACAGGAGCACGCCACAATGCCCAGCTATTTTTTTGGTTGCAGCCATCAGTGTTGTTTTTTTTTGGCGGGCCTGGGCTGGATTCAAACCCGCCATTTTAGGTGTATGTGGCTGGCGCCTTAGCCACTTGAGCCACAGGCGCTGAGCCTGCCTGATGCTTTTTAAAAAAATGTATATATGGGCTCTTCGCCTGTGCAACCTTCAACTCCTGGGCTCAAGCAAATCTCTTGCCTCCACCTCCCAAGTAGCTGGGACCACAGGTGCCCACCACAATGCCCTGCTATTTTTGGTTGTAGGAATCATTGTTGTTTTTGGTGGGCTCGGGCTGGATTCGAACTTACCACCTTAGGTGTATGTGGCTGGTGCCTTAGCCACTTGAGCCACAGGCGCCGAGCCGACCTCAAACTCTTGGGCTTATTTCTCTTTCCTCAGCTTCCTTAGTAGCTGGGACTGCAGATGCCTGCCACAATGCCTGCAAAAACACAGCTATTTTTTTTTCTTGCAGTTATTGTTGTTTAGCAGGCCTGGGATGGGCTCAAACCCACCAGCCTCAGTGTATGTGGCTCGCACCCTACTCCCCGAGCTATGGGTGCCAAGCCTATTTCTAGTTTTTTAATATTAGAAACACTGTTACAATGAACATTCTTGTACTTGTCTCTTAGTGCAAATATGCAAAAATTTCTTTCAGCTATATCTCTAAGAGTGGAATTGATGGGTTGTAAGATGAATATGAATATGAATACCCTTTCTCAAACTCTGAGCTCAAACAATCCACCTGCCTCAGCCTCCCAGAGTGCTAGGATTACAGGTGTGAGCTACTGATCTTGCCTAAAATATCTATATGCATTCATTGCACAGATACTGATCAAGCACCTGCTTTGTCCCAGGTACTCTGTGTGAGTCTGCTGTTGGGTTGTCTGTTCAGTTGACTTGGTCTGTTTGTTGTGTTAATACTACAGCGGCTTCCTTATAATGGGTTTATAGTAAATCTTGTTGTCTGGTAACATAGTCCTCCTACTTTCTTCTTCTTGTAAAAAAAATGTCTGGGGCTTGGCACCTGTAGCTCACTGGTTAGGGTGCAGGCCACAGGCACTGGGGCTGGTAGGTTTGAACCCAGCCCAGGCATGCTAAACAACTATGACAACCACAACGAAAAATACCAGGTGCTGTGGCAGGCGCCTATAGTCCCAGCTACTTGGGAGGCTGAGGCAAGAGAATTGCTTAAGCCTGAGAGTCTGAGGTTGCTGTGACTCCACAGCATTCTACTGAGGGTGACATAGTGAAACTCTATCTCAAAAAAATAAAGATAAAATAATGTCTGTGATACTTACCCTTATTCTTTTTATTTCCTTGCTTATTTTGCATTTTTATTTTTTTTATTTTTTTGGTTGAGACAGAGTCCCACCCTATGCCCTGAGCAGAGTGTAATGGCGTCATAGCTCACTGCAACCTCAGACTCGGGCTGTGGGCATCCTACTGCCTCAGCCTCCAAAGCCACTGGGATTACAGGCACTCACTGTGGCGCCCAGCTAGGTTTTTCCATTTTTTTTTTAGGAGTCAGGGTCTCACTCTCGCTCAGGCAAGTCTCGAACTCCTGAGCTCAAGCAATTCTCCCTCCTCAGCCCCCCACAGTGCTGGGATTACAGGCATGAGCCACCGCACCTGACATTGCCCTTATTCTTTTGTATGTTTTAGAATAAATTTAATAAATTTCACAAACAAATCTATAGGGATTTTGGTTGAAATTTCACTGAATCTATACATCAGGGAGAATTAATATCTTGAGAATGTAAATCTTTAAGTCTGTGATCATGATATATCTCCATTTATTTAGGTCTTTAAATGTCTCACGAACAGGTTTCCTTTAGCATCTTTGCTGTGAAATACAACATTTGTACAGAAAATTACATAAAATAAGTGTAATTTAACAACTTGATATGAAGTAAACACACATGTAAACACCAACTAGTTCAAGAAATAAAACTTATCCATTCTTCTGTTCATGGGCATTTGAGATTTGACTATCAATAAAGTTTTTGTTTTCTC